TTTCCTCTTCCATTAATGAAACAAAATAAGTTTTAATTTAATTTATGTTAAGATTTGTTATCACAATAGTTAGCCCTCCGTACAATTTTCTGTAAAAATAATAACAGTTTTTACTGTATTAAAATTTTCAAAATGATTTCAGGCTTGTGATTGAACTAAATCAATGAAATTCTAAGAAAGTGAATTTTATTATAACTAATCTAGTTAGTTCCTACCCACAACGTGAAAAACTTGCCTCCGGAATTTTAAAGTAGAATAAATTCTTTTTTATCTAGTTTTTATCACTTCATTGAAGTCAAAAGATTAAGTTTGTTTCTTAATATTCAATCTAAAACATGATGCTTACATCTGATTATTCTCATGATATAAGTATAAAGATATTATACACCATGTGTTGATTCTCAGTACTTTTTTTACTTAAAAAAATTTCTCTTGTTGTTACGCCCTATTTCACTTTCAGAAAAACAACCTTATCAGAATTCAATATTTAATTTTCAGAAATCAGATTGTTATCTTGTCGTAGATATATTTGAACAAGATAATAATATCTCCGACTTTAATTTTTTTTTATTGAAAAAATATAAAATATATTAATGTTGAGAAAGCAAAGGAAATAGAAACTAATTTTTGTTTATTTGATATCCGTTAATTTTCTAGCTCAACATTTAACTAGTTTAAGTAATTAGCAGGGCCACTAAATTTTATTGTGATTCTCAAGAAATAATCTTTATTTGATGCTTTTAGTTTTTAATTGCCGGCTCAATATTTTTCTTTTTTAAGTAGTCAACAGCTCTGCTAAATTTTTAGATTCTCAAAAAATGATGACTAGTAAAATGAAATTAAAAAAAAGTCTTTTTTGATTACAAGACGATTTTTTTTTACTAATAGGTTATGTCTAGGTTAGATGGCCGTAAAAAGGAGATACATGTGCATATTCCTATTCACTCCGAACTGTAGCATAGGGCTTCTATCATTATAGTTCTCCATCTCACTCTATTAGTGGACAGATGATTGGCAATCTCTCAGGGAACAGAGCGTTCGCCTTCCAATGAGGCGCACCGGGTTCGAATCCCTGTCGATACACGAATTCCACATCCGGCTTGCACCGACCACAGTTTTGACGTGAAATATCCTCAGTGGTAGACGGATCATGGGTTAGAATCCCCTTGCCGCCAGGCTAAAGTTCTCGTGATCTTCCTCTCCATGTAACGCAAATGCGGGTTAGCTCCATCAAAAAGTCCTCCACGGTGGCAAATTCTCTTAATACTCGATCCAAGAGTTCCCTTGTTTTCTGGATTGGGTTCAAAATTACCAGGCTCCGGGGTTGAACATCAGTAGTCGTAAACTCGAAATTGGGTCGGCTTTTCACTTAGGTAATAAAATAGTTTAAAAAGTTTTATCTATTTAGTTGAAAGTAATCATATATCGGTGAGTTTTCTACGAGCATAAAATTTCATCCATTCCATTTACAAAATTTCATCACAAATTATATAACCATATTTAATAGTTAATTTTGCCAAAATCATTACTAAAGCACCTCGGTAAAAATGTACCGATCTTTTTGGTGTCCCCATAGAGCCAGAAACAAGGTAAATTTTATATTATTATTATAGTTTTTTTGACCATACATATTGTTATAGTTTTTTTCTCGCATAATTTTAAAAAAATCACCATATAATTACAAAAATATCTCCATAAATAGGACTTTTTGTTTGTTTAATCTTGTGAAAAAAATGAATTAAAATTATAATTAAAAATGCATTTATCCGACTGATAAAGTAGTTAAAAATAACACAGTGAAACCTCACAGTGAAGTAACACAGTGATTGCATAAATGTTGCGACAAATGTCTAGGGGAGTTAGGGCATATCATTATGATTGAAATTGTCCAGGATCCTATGCCAGCAAATGTCGTCACGTGACGCTTGGGACACTTCCCAATTCTGAACTGTTTCTTGGTGTGGTTTTGAGCTGGCCATAACAGGGGAAGCACCACTAGCCGCGTACGATGACATTTCCGGGCATTGGTACCTATACAATGGATCTTCTGTTAGTTCTGTTCCATTACTGGACCATAACTTTTTTAAGCTTATACATTTCATCAAAAAGTAGACTAAAACGTCATTTAAAAAATTATTGCTTCAAGAGCAAATCTAAATTCAGATTTGAAATCCCCTCACTCAAACTAGGCAAGATCAAATATTTATATCAATGCAACAAAAGTATTATCCAGTATGTATCACAGTATGTATCACAGTATTATCCAGTGCCAATAGAATGTGTAAAAAACAATATTGTTGGTGCATCATGAAAAAAAAAAGAAAAATAATTATTGTTGTAGTGCTTTTTAAAATGTATTAGCTTTAGGTTTCTAGTTTCTAACATTGATATGAAAATAAATGATATATTTTTTTTTACACACAGTTAAAAAGGCCCACTTACATTTCAGTTTATAATTCTATTTAATATCATTACGTTAAGAGGAAAAAATTTGTTTTCTTGTCATTTCATTTTGGTTACCATTAATTAAAGAAAAGTTTAAAAAATAGCGATAGCTCTCCCAAAAATAAGCCCTTCCCAACGAAATTTGAATATGTTGTCAAATAAAGAGTCACTAAATAAAACTGCAATGGGTAAATTAGTGGCGCTGCAATAGAATGACGTTACAACAATGATCATAAAATTGTATGTTTGATCGCAAAGCCTGTGAATTTTACTCTGCTTCTGAAATTAGAAATTTAAGATAGCCAATATGTAACAATAACCTCTAGGCATCATTTGTTTGAAGAGCTGCGATGCTATTAGAAGGCCAGAGGCACGACAAAATCAGATAGAAGTTGCCAGATGTCTAGATATGAGTCTTTCTGTGGTTCGTAGACTTAGGCGAAAATTTCTAATCACTGGTTTTGCCTCCAGAAGGTTCAGCCAAGAACGAACAAACCCTACGACGAGCACCAATGACCGATTTTTATCGTATGTGCACGAAGAAATAGAACCGTAACTCAGAGTCAGATCAGATCGGGTCATCTCTTAATGCAGCCACCAGAAGATCGGTGTCACCGTCTACAGTGGGTATTGTTTGCCTAGAGTAAGAACTCCTCTAGCCATTTGTCTAGACCGGTGGCGGTGACCATGGTAGCGAACTATTTCTGGGGTCACTGTTTAGGACAGGTTTTGGCTCGGCTCGGCGAAAGAAAGGTAATCTTTTTCTCCGGTCTAACGGGAAGAGAAGTTATCCTCCCTTAAATGCGCTTTTCTTGTTTAAATATCAGCAGACGGTCTCAGGTTTTGTGGCTGGGGGAGTCCTTACCGCACACAAACTATAAAATACACGAACGTGGTTGGTTTGCTAGGTGACCAGCCATTTGCTTACCACTCACATCACGCCATAGAACGGAGCGGTTTAGTCAGGGGCAGAAGCATGTCCACTAGACGACTGACCAATGGAGGACTTATTTCTTCACAGATGAGTCCAGGTTAAGCCCTTAAGCCGATAGTAAGAGTTGTTTGATTTGGAGAGAATCTGGGACCTGATATCATCTGTGAAACATCCGCGGAAGAGATGCATGCCAACGAGGCAGTGTCTGTGTGTGGGCTGGTATTTCTTTGGGTGGATGCACAGCCCTGCATAATGACGTAACTGCTTTACGCGTGAAACCATGAATGCTCACGTATGTAGAGGTGATATCCTTGATTATATGAGTGCCTAGAGGCTTGTGCAATAGGTGGAGATTTTGTGCTACATATTCAGCACAAGCCTATGGACGATAACACAGCGCCGACCAGCGATCGCATCGTGGATGATTATCTTCAGCAGAAAACAATTCAGCTCATGGAGTCGCCAGCTCGATCACCGGACTTAAATTCTATCTAGCATGTTTGTGATGCTTTAGGAAGACGTGTAGGTGCTCTCAATTCTCATCCTCAGACCCTTGTCATGCTTGAAACTGCTTTTGCAAAAGGAATGGCTCGCACTTGTAACGGAACTGGCAGACCGCATAATTAAAAGCGCACTCATCGATGTTTGTGTTGTTAGAGGTGATCATACTCTAACTGAAGGTACTTTTTCTATTTTATACTGACACATCTGATTTATTCATTTCATACATATGCTAATTTCTGTAACATCATAATTGTATTGTTTTCACTTTTTATGTTATTTTATACGTTATTTTGTGCATTATAATGTGTGTCAGTCTCATTAAATTTTAAGAACTGAATTTTTTAAGTAATGGTCAGTATTTTATTTTTCCTATATTTATTATAACCAATGTAATTTCATTTAATAACTTAAGCTCATTTTACCATGAATTCATTATTCATTAAAAAGTTTATGTTATAAAACTTGATTAATTAAATAATTTAAAAAATTTAAAAAACTAAATTAATTTAAGGTAAAAACTTAAAAGGATAAATTTCCAATTAACTATACTAATAGAAGTCAGATTTTTTTTTATTAAATTTGCGATTAACATGAAATTTATACATTCTAGCCAATCAGAAAGTGGTTAAAATTTAACTGCAAGATCCCATTTTCATAGACAGGAAAGTACGTTAATGAAAACGAGTAAACAATTAAAAGATACATTCACAATAAATGTCCACTTATATATCAATGAATGTTGATTTTGTTTTACGCATTTTTTAATACATACAATATATATTTCCTCAAAAATACGTTTTTTTTAAAAAATAAAGGAATAAAAATTTGTCTTTTTCCAAAACCATTACCAGCTAATCATTTATCAGTTATTACAAAATAATAAAAATTTATCTTGTGTAATTTTTATCTCCCTGTTTACAAAGTTACTCGACTTTTAATCGCAATCTTACCTTATTTTTCAATCGCACATTTAATTAATTTTAGATATTAGTAAATTATTAGTCCTCGCGAGTTTGCACTAGTTTCTTTTTAGCATTTTGATAATTGTTATCATTCACCTTGATAATATATCGAAGGGTACAGATAAGAAGATATAAAAAGAGGTCCTAAGCAGTATTCATTAGACAAGAATAACGAAAAAGTAAACATCTTATTTAGATACAAATCTCAATAGTGGAAGGAATCAGTATGTTGAAATGGTTAGTCTTAGGGGTGTGTGTTAGTGTAGTATTAGGCCATGGCCGACTTGAAGACCCTCCAGGACGGTCCACCATGTGGCGTTTCGGATTCAAAACCGCAACAAATGTGAATGACAATGAATTGTTTTGTGGCGGAATCACAGTAAGAAAACATATATATATATATCTAATTTAATTGTACCCATCGTTGAACAGCTTATTTATGTTTGAAGTTAATATAAACAGTCAATCGCATCATTAATTAAAATGATGATTAGTAATCGATTGCTGCTACCACTACATTTAGTAATTCGATACCTTTCCCAGGAGTTGGTAGGTTCGATACTTTCACCAGTTAGCAATTCGGCATTCTTACCAGTTGGTAAAAATGAAAAACGACTTTTAGAATTAGTAATTCGGCACCTCGAAAGGCAATTTTCGGCTTTAGTAAATTGTCACTCTTACCAGTTAGTGCAGATTAAAGGTGTTTTTTTTCAATGAATAATTCAGAGACCGCTTCCAGTAAGTAGATTTGAAAATAGATTTTTGGCATAATCAATTCAGCACTCTCATCGGTTGGTATATTTGAAATACGATTTTTGTCTTAAGTGATTCGTCACTCTTACCAGTTGGTAGAAATGAAAAATGGTTTTTGGAATTAATAAGTCAGCATCCTCACCAGTACATTCATTAAATACCTTCTTGGTATTAGAAATTCAGCACTCTTATCGGTTGGCATATTTGAAAGACGATTTTCGGAATTAGCGATTCGACACCTTGAAATACGATTTTTGTCTTTAGTGATTCGTCACTCTTACCAGTTGGTAGAAATGAAAAATGGTTTTTTGGAATTAATAAGTCAGCATCCTCACCAGTACATTCATTAAATACCTTCTTGGTATTAGAAATTCAGCACTCTTATCGGTTGGCATATTTGAAAGACGATTTTCGGAATTAGCGATTCGACACCTTGAAAGACGATTTTTGTCTTTAGTGATTCGTCACTCTCACCAGTTGGTAAAAATTAAAACTGATTTTTGGAATTAATAAGTCAGCATCCTCACCTTTAAGTACATTTTTGGTATTAGCAATTGAGCACTCTTTTCGGTCGGTATATTTGAATGACGATTTTCAGAATTAGCAACTCGCTTTAACCAGTGAGCCCGGTAGCAGAAACTCTCCAGCACGGCAGCAGAGGCTACAGATTATTGCAGCATCTGCGAAAGATCTTTCATCTAAGTTTTTTTTTTTAAAGCCATTGAACAAATACCGAAAAATTACTCTTCCTTTTAAGAACATCTTTAACTTTGTTCAAAAATTAAAAATTTGAATAGAGAAAATACCGTAAGAAACAAAAAGTAAAGAATATTTTTCTTTCCCTTCATTACAGGGTCAGTTGTACACGAATTTATTCCATTCTTTTTACAATTATTGTATAAAATTAACTTTAATTTAAAAAAAGGAAGAAAAAAAATGCAGATTTAAAGAGATTTTAAGATATTACTAGCTAAAACAAAAGCTACTAGTTCAAAGAAAATGGAATAAAATTTATAAGAACTTTAATGCACTTTTTTTAAAAAATTTACTAGAACAGTTTATTATTACTATAAATATAGTTATACACTAAATAAAAAAGTATGGTCAAAACTATCCAGAATATGGTAAAATTTATCGTGCTTCCGGCTCTATGGGAAAACCAAAAAAGTTTGGTGAGTTTTACCGAAGTGCTTTGGTAATGTTATGGTAAAACTAACAATATATGGTTTTATAGCATGTGATAAAATTTAATAAATGTGGCCAAAAATTGTTATTTCATCATGGACATTCATCAACGGAGAACATTTCATAAAAATAATTTATTTGGTCAAATTTATTTTTCAGTTTGTATTTCTTACTAATTGTGTGCTAAAAAGAACTATGGTTTTAAGAACCAGAATTTTATGACAAACCGTTAGCATATCAACACAAAATTACTAAATAATTGATACGAATACCGCATATTATTTCATTATTCTGAAAAATGTTTATTTACTTATTTTTTAACCAGAAATGTCACTTCCCTACAGTAGGATATTTTTACCAGAATGTTTTCTTCGTATAACATTTTTTACTTTTCATCAAGTATAAATACACTGTACATCCCTGTCTTCTAAAGGTAGATGGCATAGTTAATGTGTGTTAAGGATAAAATTATTTTAATAAAAATTAAATTTATTGCCATTAAAATTATATTTACTAAAGTGATATTATTAAAAACATCTGCCTTTTAATTAGAAATAAAAATCAATTTTATAAAAACTTTTTATGAATTATGCGAAGCTTAGAGTCTCTTAATAAGTTGTTAGTTGTTTTATATCTGATTAATGGATAAACAACAAAATAAATTTACGTTATTACAAAATCTATTTTCTGAAATGTTAATTATGCTAAAACTGTATTAATGCACAAAATTGTATTAAATATCTAATTTTATAAAATTTTCTTCTACACAATTAAAAGTTACTAGCAAATTTTCAATGTGCAAATTTTTCAATATGCAATTTTTTCAGAATTTCGTGCATGATGGCGACATAAAAATTAGGTCTTCTTTTGTACTTTTAAAATTTCCAGTCTTATCTTTTTTTTAAAAGAAAAATATTTTAATACGCATACAGTCTAGAAAAAAAGTTTTTTTCCTCATATATATCCTCTACAGATATTGCATAATGATTTTTCAATATGCAATTTTTTCAGAATTTCGTGCATGATGGCGACATAAAAATTAGGTCTTTTTTTGTACTTTTAAAATTTCCTGTCGTATCTTTTTTTTTTAAAAGAAAAATATTTTAATACTCTTACAGTCTGGAAAAAAGTTTTTTCCTCATGTCCTCTACAGTCTTGAAATAAATAAGATTTAAATTACTGCTTATGAAATTAAGTCATAGTAGCATTGTTAATACGAGCTTCTGCTTGGATAAGATTTTGAGCATCAATTTTTATATAAATTGGTCTCCGTATTACTCTTAAGATGGCAGCACTAAAAATAAGAATTCTATTAAAACTTTTAGTCAAAAAGAATCTTCAGTAAGTACCTGTTTCTTTTTTTTTTCCTTAAGGAGAACTAGTTTAAATTAATAAAATAAAAAGCTCCTAATAAACAAAATATGCTTAAAAATGTGTATTTTGTAATTGTTTATTGATAAGAATGCGTAAAGAATGAAGAATAGTAGAATGGTTTAAAGGCTTATGGTGCTGCCATCTGCTAGAAATAACTCGAACAGGAGATTGAAAGATCAGCAGGAAGTTCATTTCTATCTCTGGTTGCTTTGTTATAAAGGTGAATATGAAAAAAAAAAAAAAAAANAAAAAAAAAAAAAAAAAAAAAAAAAAAAAAAAAAAAAAAAAAAAAAAAAAAAAAAAGAGAGAATTGTATATAAATATATAAATAATTTACATTGTGAAATGATAACAGTAATGATAATTGAAGATTTGAATATAATTGCTTTTATAGTAGTTTAAAGTTTAGAGTTGATTTTCAGATTTCCCTTCATTCAGATTCCTTCCCCAAATATTAACCTCAATACGCAGTTTTATGTTACTGATATTTCATTTATTGAAAGATATTCATGTTTCATAAATTACTTTCAGAGACATTGGACAAAAAATAAGGGTAATTGTGGCATATGCGGTGATCCTTGGGATTTACCCGAACCTAGACCCAATGAAGACGGCGGGATCTACGGAAAGGGAATTGTTGTCAAGACTTATAAATCTGGCGAGGTGATCACCATTACGACCATCATTCACGCCAACCACTTGGGTTACTTTGAATTTAAACTCTGCCCAGTGCAGGATGGAGTTAAGATTGACCAAGATTGTTTGGATAAGTATCCCCTACAACTAGCCGATGGAAGTGGTACCAAATACGAATTGGGAAGACAAAAAGGAGCTGTAAAGGTCGATGTTAAACTTCCAGATGGACTGAAATGTGATAGATGTGTTTTGCAATGGCACTGGAAATGCGGTAAGATATATCCTACATAACGATTGAAAGTTTTTTTTTTTTTTTTTTAAAAAAATAAGAAATTTTATAGTTCATTTCTAATATCCTAACACACAATTGAAAGTCTTTTTTAATAAGAATTCATATCGTTCATTTCTAATATCTTAATATCCTACCTATGTTTTCTTAATAAGAGTTCTTATAGTTCATTTCTAATATCCTACCACACGATTAAAAGTATTTTAAATAAGAGTTCTTATAGTTTGTTTCTAATATCCTACCACACAATTGAAAGTTATTTCAATAAAAGTTCTTATTGTTTATTTCTAAAATCCTACCACACGATTGAAAGTTTTTCCAATGAGAGTTCTTATAATTTAATTCTAATATCCTAGCAGGTGATTGAAAGTTTATTATTTTTTTTAACACGAGTCCTTATAGTTTATTTCTAATATCTCAATATCCTACCACCCGATTGAAAGTTTTTTTTTTTTAATAAGAGTTTTTATAGTTAATTTCTAATATCCCAATATCCTACGAAACGATTGAAGGGCTTTTAATAAGAGCTCTTATAGTTTATTTCTGATGTCCTACCACATGATTGAAAGTTTTTCTTATAAGAGTTCTTATAATTTAATTCTAATATCCTAACAGGTGATTGAAAGCTTTTTTTAATAAGAGGTCTTATAGTTAATTTCTAATATTCTACGAAACGATTGAAGGGTTTTTAATAAGAGCTCTTATAGTTTATTTCTAATATCCTACCACACGATTGAAAGCTTTTCTAATTAGAGTTCTTATAATTTAATTCTAATATCCTACCAGGTGATTGAAAGTGTTTTTAAAAACGAGTCCTTATAGTTTATTTCTAATATCTCAATATCCTACTACCCTATTGAAAGACTTTTTAATAAGAGGTCTTATAGTTAATTTCTAATATCCTACCAAACGATTGAAAGGTTTTTAATTAGAGCTCTTATAGTTTATTTCTAATATCCTACTGTCCTATCACACAATTGAAAATTTTTTCTAATAAGAGTTTTTATAGTTTATTTCTAATTGTTAACTTTTTTAATGTTTTATTTTGTATCAATTATTAAGTTTTCATTACTAAAATGCTCTTTAATTTTACCGATAGATAGATAGATCATATTTACCATTAGTTAAACCTAATTTTATATTGACAGTAAATGATTATGTTCTGAAAATAGACCCCCCCCCTCCCTTTCTATGATCTTTTTATATTTTAAACGGATTCTTTTGTTCTGCATTTGATTTCTTTTGTTAATGGATTATTTTGATTCACTAATTATTTAGATTTATCAACGATTTTTTTTTGTTTGTTTTGCGAATAGATTTTCCTAAGTAGTCATTTTTCTTAGATATTTATCTTGCCCTTAATGTATTGATATGACTCGTTGGCTATGGCACTGAACTGTTATTCTGAGGAAATGGGGTTCGATCCCTAGTGGCGGCTTTAAGTGGACGCCATACCACGAGAGAAAATTTTCGTCGCAAATTCTTTTTCTCGTTCATCACTAATTTAAAATTTAAAGAGTAGAAAAAATGAAATCAGACAAACCTAGAGTAAGCCTTGAAGTTTCAATTACTGAAAACAACATTTTAAAATATACAAATGGAAATAAATTATGAGATCATTACTTAACATTACGCAATGGAGAAATTCTCTACCAATAAATTGCTAGCATTCTAATATTTTGAAACATTTTTTTCAGTAATTGAAACTTGATGACTTGCTCTAGATTTGCTTAAACTTACTTTTTCTTTCTTTTAAATTTGTAATGAAGGGGAAAGAGAATTTGTCACGAAAATTTTCTTCCGCTGTATAGCGTCCTCTTATGCCGTCCCAGCATCAGATCGATGAGTACCATCTTGTCTGGGAAGTAAAAGCGGCTTGAGCACAATGCTTTCTTTATTTCTACAATCATATCGTTGGTCATTAAGTACTAACTTAACCCCCATGGTCCACAACGGGCTATTGTGGGAATACTTTATTTACTTTGAAAAATCATAAAACTTATATTTTAGTTTCAAAAATCTCGAAAATGATTCAAGGATTTAAGTTACTCATCATTGATGTTATTGGTGGCTGTTATTTAAATTGTGAACTATAAGATTGATAAATAAGCATTCTTATACTTACGTATTAAACTTTATTTAATTCTGTATGCATCATTTTTCGTTTAGATTCAATAGACATTTTATATTGGTTCTCATTAGTATTGTAATAAAAATATCATGCAATTTAACTTTTTTTTTAAATTAAATAACAAAAATTGGCATATTTTTCTTTTTTTAGCCAACCATTGGGGTAAATGCCCAGGCACCAATAAAGGTCGGATGGGATGTGGACCACAAGAGTTTTTCAGAGGTTGTGCTGATATTCAAATTGTGTAAAATGTATTTAAATTTTTTGTATTATTTGTTTTTATTTACAACGACTTTTAAAGCCGAATGGTTTGTTAAGTTTTAAAATTTTTTATTAAAAAGATTGCTTTTAGAAATTGTTCAATCTTTATTTTAAGTTTTATTACTATAAAAACCAAAATAATTGAGACAAAAATATATTTTACAGACAATTTAGAAAAATTGCATATGCATTAGTGAGTATATTCAAAAATAAAGTACTTACTTTATCATTTATTATACTAACTATTGTAGTTAATATACATTAAATATGTATAATACATATAATATATTAATTATACATAATCAATATAATTCATACATATATATATATATATATATATATATGAGTTTAAAATGAAGAATAAAACAAAGAAAAATTATAGACATATGAAAAAAAGGGGGGTGGGAAATAATAAGTAAAAAATAACAAACAACATTTTAATAAAAAAAAAATGAAATGTTAATTAAAAAACCGGAAAAAAAAGATATAATCTTTTCTTCAGCCCACACGATTATATCCGCAAAACAGAGTGCTTTCTGATATTGTATCAATAAGGCCAAAGCAAAATATATTAATACAATAGTGTGAGGAGCATTCAAAATTTTTTTTATAAAATAACTACAAATAAAATATATCATAATAAGTAAAATTAACATGTAAAAACAGATAATAAAATAAAATAAAAAGAAAAAACATTAAAAAGAAGGGACTATAAAGCGAGTAGCAAAATCATAACAACTTACNNNAAAAAAAAAAAAAAAAAAAAAAAAAAAAAAAAAAAAAAAAAAAAAAAAAAAAAAAAAGAAAAGAAAACCAAAGTAAATAAATAACACATTTAGTTATACTGCGCAGTTTAATTTGTCATAATATACATGAGAAATTTAAATGATTGAAAAATATTACAGAATTAACTTATAATTAACAATTAATATATATAGAATTAATAGTTAATATACAATTTAAACTTTAAATTTTAAAAACAATTATTGAAAACAGGAAGAAAACGATGATTTTTTTCTAAAAACATTTAAATACTGTATTTAAGAAAATAAAGGAATAAATCACAACACCAGTCACTTCAAACAAAACAAATTTAATCAGTTCGTTTCCCCACAAATGGAACAAATCAAGTATCACAACTCAAGACCAGCTCGAGTCTTGAACATCAGTATGATGCATTCATTCTATTGTACTCTTTATAAATAACATTAGTTGATTATCCAAACTATCGTCTGCGATGGTATGGAATGCTTTTGGAATGGAATTTGTGGTATTTCTTCATTGTCTTTGGCCCTCGCGGTCTCGGATTAAATGCAGCAGAACCACGCACTCCTGCCCCAGCAAGAACAGAAATATCTGCACAGTTGCGGTAGAGTTCCTGTGCCCCGCACCCAACAGCCTTCGTGCCATTGTCACAATCGCCCCAGTTGTTCGCTGGAATAAACAAAATAAATTTATAAGACGATGGGTTTTTGTAATAATAATGTTTTTCATAATAATTTAATCTTGGATAAGTAATGGAAAGTTTTCAGAGTTGATTTTCGTCCAGTAAACTCTATTTGACTAGATTTGAAAATATTTTAAAACGTCGCTTATTAAATCCTGTAGCATAATCAACTATCAGCAGAAATTATTTCAATCTAAAACTTTTGAAAAGTTTAATTTTTGGTTAAACTTTTCAAATAAATTTATTTATTTGCTTATTAAATGCATATTTGTACCAGTTTATTTATTTGCTTATTATTTGATAAATTTATTTATTTGCTTAAATTTATTTATTTGCTTATTATTTGATAAATTTATTTATTTGCTTATCCAAAATTCAAACACATTTTTATTTCCTTTAATGACAATTCCTTCGATTTTATGTAAACGGTATAAGCGTAGAACGACAAATTCTTAAATGCATATTTGTATCGAAAATAACAATGGCAATAACACTTAATGTATGCGTCAATCTTAGCATCACTGAAAACAATTATAACATTATATCTTTAGAACAGGGTAAACAGCTGCCTCGTTTTATCTTCACAATATTGTAAACAATCACAGCATTAAAGGTGCACAAAATATAAACAATCATAGCCTTAAAGTTGCACAACAGTCACAGCATTAGATCTTTGAAACAATGGAAATAATCACAGCATTAGATCTTTGAAACAATGAAAATAATCACAGCATTAGATCTTTGAAACAATGGAAACAATCACGGCATTAGATCTTTGAAACAATGGAAACAATCAGAACATTATATCTTTGAAACAATTAGAGCAATCATATCATTGGATACATACAAAGAATATAGTTTTTAGAGATAAAAAACATTTAAGAAATTTTTATTGTGGTGTTATTTAAACTTTTTATTTTAATTTTTAAATGTTTTAAACAAATAGTTAAGGTTTAAGTTATTTCAATTATCACAACGAGAGATGTATACGATTTCATTATCGGTTGCCAAAAAGTCGACGAATAAAAATCGTTATTTGCCCGAAAGCTATTTGGTTTTTGAATTTGCTAACATTTTTCAACAAATAAATTGAGTTATTACTGTTTTTGGAAAGATTTGTGTTGATGAGTATGAAAATTTCGATAGTAAATAGTAAATTAACAAAATAAAATTGCAAATTTCCTGAGGTATTGCCGCGTAGAATCATTTAAGTCAACATTATAAATAATCATTTCAGTAATCAATCGTAACAGTTATAAATTCAAAACAGCCATAAAAAAGCATATTATTTGCTAAAAGGCGTTATTTTTTACGACGAAAAAAACTTCTCAGAACAGCTTTAGGGAAATCTAGTTTCGAGTCTTACACGCTGAGCGCAACCAGCTTTCTTCTATGTATGTCTCACTTCTTGTTACTCCCTTCCTCTTACTTCTTACCATCTGTCACAATTTCTCGAACCCCACCCTCCCCTTCAAGGGTGACATCATTTACCGATGATTCCTAACATTCAATGTGTTCTTTCTATTCTTTAATTTGCTTTAAAGCAAATCTACCAATTGTTTTAAGAAACAACCAGCAAATTGCAAATCCGTTACCCCATCTCCATCGCCAATCCAGTTCAGTGGGATGTCGCAGTTCTTGGTACCCCCTATCATCCTCCTTCTTACAATCTGTCACAATTTCTCACACCCCACCCTCCCCTTCAAGCTTGACATTATTTACTGACAGCCCCTAACATTCAATGTGTTCTTTCTATTCCTTTCTTTGCTTTGAAACAAATCTAAGAATTGTTTTAGAAAACAATCTGAAAAATTACTAATCAAAATTAGTTACCCGATCTCCAGTGCCATCTCAAAATGCAATGGGAACAACTGACATCTCTGGGTATTTCAATGGGTACCACATAGAATCCATTGTCATCTCTCGGAATATGAAACCTGGTACCTGTTCCATCAGCCAGTTTCAAAATTCTTTTCTCAAAACATTCTTCGGTTTCTCTTTCATTTGGGTCGTTCCTTTCACAGAGAGAAAATTCAAAGTACCCTTTATGGTTGGCGACAATTTCAATCATCACGTCTAAGATTCGGCCAGGCTGGTATGTTCGACCTATTATTCCAGATGTGAAGTTTCCACCTGTTTCATGTGGTCTAGGCAACTTTAAATCATAACGATCTCCGCAAAGTCCGCATTTTCCATCGTTGTCTTCGTGTGTTACCTAAGATAAAAATAATATTATTCTAAAAGTATATATTAAATTACAGAGTTACATAGTTATGGTGACGTTAATATAATTACAACTTTGACATTTTGGATATGCTTTGTAGCATTGGTTTAAGGTAAAAATAACTTTTAAAAAATATGGTTGTTTTGTATTTAAAGTGCTTAAAATTATCATTTTATAAAAGTGAGTGATAGTTTTATTGAAAATATTTTTGTTGGAATTTAGCGAAAATNATTCTTCGGTTTCTCTTTCATTTGGGTCGTTCCTTTCACAGAGAGAAAATTCAAAGTACCCTTTATGGTTGGCGACAATTTCAATCATCACGTCTAAGATTCGGCCAGGCTGGTATGTTCGACCTATTATTCCAGATGTGAAGTTTCCACCTGTTTCATGTGGTCTAGGCAACTTTAAATCATAACGATCTCCGCAAAGTCCGCATTTTCCATCGTTGTCTTCGTGTGTTACCTAAGATAAAAATAATATTATTCTAAAAGTATATATTAAATTACAGAGTTACATAGTTGTGGTGACGTTAATATAATTACAACTTTGAAATTTTGTGTATGCTTTGTAGCATTGGTTTAAGGTAAGAACAACTTTTAAAAAATAAGGTTGTTTTGTATTTAAAGTACTTAAAATTATAATATTATAAAAGTGAATGATAGTTTTATTATAAATATTTTTTGTAGGAGTTAATTGAAAATATTTTCGTATTCCCTTAAAACACGAACATCTAATATTTTGAAAAAAAAGCATAATAAATATTGTCCTTTATTAACTAATAAAATTTTAACTAAATGCATATTATCAATATACTTTCTATTCTAATACATACTTAATAGCATTTTTTTCTACATTTAGTTATATATATAAAAGCAATTCGGTTATTCTATGAAAATGAAAATTCAATAAATACTTGAATTACTTATTACTCAAATGGATAAAATATTTATAAGTTCTATTTTGAATTAACGATTTATAATTAATTAATCTATTAAAGCAGAAATCTTTTATTTCTTATGGTCTAATAAAAATAAGACTATTTAAAAAATATATTTTTAAAATTTTGCATTAATTGATGAATATATTCTTAATGAAGTGAAGTTTTTGTAAGAATGCATAATGTAAAAAAGCAAACATACTTATTACATGTTAAATTCAAATTTAATAATCATTGAAAACATTTTTATTTTTGTTACTATAGTTGAGATAAAGACCAATTATTCTTAGAAAAACAAATTATTTTTTAAATTCATTTCGAAAAACATGCCATTAAAAACTTTAAGAGTGCGGAAAAATAACCTTAAAATAAAAATTCATGATGCAATTCTGAAATATCAATTTAAGTCCTGTCTCGGCGTGCATTTAGTACTGCCTATTTTCTTGAATAATTAATAAAAATATATTAGTCTTAATAGTATTTGTTACATATTTTAATGATGCTTAAAAAAGAACTGCCATTTGTAAATAAAACATGAAGTTAAGAGTTTTAATCTGTTTTAATATTTCAAAATTTATGTAAGGAATGTATCAGATATTTTGAAATCAGCACTTAAATTATTTAAATTTAGCATTATTTGAAAATTAAAATAAAAAGTTAAACTTTTTCTGACAAAAACTCGACCTCTACTAGACGTTTTATTTAGATGTATGTAAAATTAAATGTTATTTAAATGTAGGGGTATTTATGAACTTGTTAATTCTTTAAACAAATACGAATCACAAGAAAGCTTTTGTTTCCTCCAAATTTCCTGCATTAAAACTAGAAAAATCAGAATAAGAATTTCAGTGAAATTCAGAAGAATGTGAATTTCAGTAACTTTTACTTATTATTTTATTCACATAACTAGTAAAAAATTCAAAAATTCATTTATAAAAATTAGTAGTATTGACTCATTTTAAGTTTTAGTAATAAAAATTTACGTGCAGCATTTCATTTTTAATCAGATATATTTATAAAAGATTTTACATAGTACGTTATACTGAAAAATATTGAACAGAAAAGTACAGGTGAACAGGTGAAAAGCACCGAGTACCATGAAATAATGATTTTGCTTAAACCTTTTAAAAATGCAAACCATATAGTATCTTATAAATAAATAAATTGTAAATTTATATGTTTAGATTAATAAACTTTGTATTTAAATCATTCTAAAAGAATAGGAAAAATGTTTTTGTTAATTTTTTTCCACTTATACACTGCGAAAAGAAAATTATGGTCAAACCTACCAGAATATTGTTAAGTTTACCGCGTTTCCGACTTTATGGGTACACCAAAAAGCTTAGCAATTTTTATCGCAGCAGTAAAGGGATGATTTTGGAAAAGTTAACAACAAAGTACGGTTTTATAATGTATGATAAAATCTAGTAATTTTAGCATCAGAATTTCCGGTAAACCATTACCATATGAACAGAAAAATTATTGAATAAAAGGTCTGAATACCGAATATATACCTCGGTTTTATTAACTGGAATTATGTTTTTTTTTTCTAAATAAAAAATGATCGGAAGAAACGAAAATCCCTGTATTCACAAACTGCAATTTTTAGTGATATTTATTATTTTTATTTTTTAATAATAAAAATATCAATTATTATTTAAAACCATTAATTCAATGAGTGAAATATCTTTATGAATTTTCTTTACAAAGTATACAAGTCTAATAATTTAAACACAAGTATGTAATATCGTATGTGAAGTTCAATTCATCCCGTTAAGAAGTATCATAGAAACTCATTCATAGTTTTTTAAGGTTATATTTTAAGATGTTTTCTTTCAAAGAAGTTGAACCATAATATCGATACTATAATAATGTGCAAATTAGCTGCACGTTGAATAGCGTGTTTAATTACAATACGTTTCTGTTCAAGTAGTCACTTAGTACCATAATATTAACCAGTACGATAATATGGTTTAACTTAACAACTTAATAAATTTTGAAACAAGATCGAAAGATATTACTGTTCAACACATTTCAATATTTCTAACACTTTACAGAATGAATTATTACGATTAATTCCACACTAACCTTCAGTCCACCACAAAATAATTCCGTATCATCGTAATTTTCAGGTGCGACAAAATCCATTCTCCACATAGTGTTCCTTGCTGGGGGTTCCACCATCCTTCCATGGCCATTTACCTGAAAAGGCGCCAAACACAAGACACCAACCGCAAAGAGAACGTTCATATTACAAAAGCTCAATTGAAATGCAAAAGAATAAAACGTTCCAAGTTCAAGTGCAAGGCTTGCCTTTGTTTGTGGTTTAAAAGTTTTGAATTGGCCTATATAGGGCAGTGAGGAAGTCATTGGGTACCTGTTTTGGTGTTCCACTGACCTCAGACACATTAAGTAGAAGGGAGGCCCTCAACACCTAATGGATGGCAATTTATTCCAGAACGATTTGATGGAGTGGTCTTTCTTTCTTTCTTTTTTGATGAAATGTAAGATGGGGGTTTGGTCAAGGTCATGATCAAATTCGACGTTTTTTTCTAGGCAGTCTTCGAAATAGGTTATCTATTGTCCATTAGTCTTATAGGACAATATAAGACTACTATGATTTTATTTTCAATACTAATTAAAGGAATTAAATATCTAGTAAATATCTAAGCACCGTTTAAATTTTTTTAAGCCATTCTTTAATATACTCTGTTTATTGTCTATTAGTCTCATATAAAAATATAAGACTAGTGCGATTCTGTTTTCAATACTAGTTAAAAGAATTAAATATCTGGTAAATATCTGAACTCTGTTTAAGTTTTTTTCCAGCCATTCTTTCATACAGTACGTCTATTGTCTACTAATCTTATATGATAATATAAGACTAGCGCAATCCTATTTTTAATACTAATTAAAGGGATTAAATTTGTAATAAATATCTAATTTCTTTCTAATTTTCAGAGAATGGAAATAAATTTAATCAATTTAATTTCTGAAGCATTCAAGAGTCGATGTAAATATTTTCCATGCGATTTTAAGTTACTCTTTTCTTAATCATTAACCGGTTTAACTTTATAACTAATTTAAAACATGAATTATTTTGAAAATTTCTTTGTAGTTTTTATACTTTTTTTATTCATTAAAAATATTTTTAACTTCTTCCTCATTAAGAGACAGGCTTAAAGAACAAATTTTTTTATCTGTTATATGCAAAAAGTAAAACATTAGTTCAAAAATGTAATATGTTCCATGCTACGATGAGTATGTAAAATATAATTATACATATTAGTATTTTTTAATTATTTTTTATTTATTTACTAACGAAAAAAGTTCAGCATAATAATTAGATTTATTATGAGAGAATCTGATGGAATAAAAAATGTAGTTATGCTAAGGGAGAAAAGTAAAATTAATTATAAATTATATCTAATATATATATGAACAAACTATACATTGATTTATAAGCTGTAGATTTTATAAGCTGTTGTTTATTAGCCTATATATATATTGACTAATAAATTATCCAATTCATCGTGTGTATTAGATAGTTAATTAGCCAATGTATCTACTACATCGATTATAGTTATCTTAGAGAAACAAAATGTTATAAATTACTAATTAATCGAATGCCCTGATTAAGTTTAAAATTATATTGCTTACTCAAGCTCAGTTTCAAATTGAGAGTTATTTTGCTTGAAAGTTGTATTGTTTACTCTTCTCTTAAAAGTTGAATATTTTGTGAGTAAATGTTGAATTATTTAAACTACTTTACTTTATAATTGTGTCTTATTGTGTTTGAAAATTGGTTTGTTTACATTGTTGTATTTTAAAAATTGTATAATAAATTGTGAATAGGAATTGCATTGTTCACAATATTTCAATTTTAATTGGTCTGTTATTGTTAACAGAAATTGTATAATCGTAATATTGTGTGACAAAAACTTTAATTGTTTACCACTGTTTCAGTTTTAAATTAAGTGCTTATTTTAAAGAAATGCTTTGTTTATACTTTATGTTTTAAAAACTACGTAACAGTAAGTGACTGAAACTTGCATTGTTTATCACTATTACCGTTCCAAATCATGTGCTCATTGTAAAAAGCATGTATTAGTTACACTTCTAGGTTTTAGAAATTAGGCAGTATTGTTTGACTGAAACAAGCACATTGTTGTTTCCGACATTGTTGTATTTTAAAAATTGTATAATAAATTATGAATAGGAATTGCATTGTTCACAATATTTCAATTTCAATTGGTCTGTTATTGTTTACAGAAATTGTATAATCGTAATATTGTGTGACAAAACTTTAATTGTTTACCACTGTTTCAGTTTAAAATTAAGCATTTATTGTAAAGAAATGCATTGTTTACACTTCATGTTTGAAAAACTACTGTAATAGTGAGTGACTGAAACTTGCATTGTTTATCATTATTACAGTTCCAAATCATGCGTTCATTGTTAAAAGTATGTATTAGTTACACTTCTAGGTTTTAGAAATTGGGCAATATTGTTTGACTGAAACAAGCACATTGTTGTTTCAGACATTGTTGTATTTTATAAATTATATAATAAATTGTGAATAGGAATTGCATTGTTCACAATATTTCAATTTTAATTGGTCTGTTATTGTCAACAGAAATTGTATAATCGTAATATTGTGTGACAAAAACTTTAATTGTTTATCACTGTCTCAGTTTTAAATTAAGTGCTTATTTTAAAGAAATGCTTTGTTTATACTTTATGTTTTAAAAACTACGTAACAGTGAGTGACTGAAACTTGCATTGTTTATCACTATTACGGCTCCAAATCATGCGCTCATTGTAAAAAGCATGTATTAGTTGCACTTCAAGGTTTTAGAAATTAGGCAGTATTGTTTGACTGAAACAAGCACATTGTTGTTTCCGATATTGTCGTATTTTAAAAATTGTATAATAAATTATGAATAGGAATTGCATTGTTCACAATATTTCAATTTCAATTGGTCTGTTATTGTTTACAAAAATTGTATAATCGTAATATTGTGTGACAAAACTTTAATTGTTTACCACTGTTTCAGTTTTAAATTAAGTGTTAATTGTAAAAAAAAAATCGTAATCTTTTCACTTCTACGTTTTAAAAACTGCGTAATATTGAGTGGTTGAAACTTTCCTTGTTTACCACTATTTCAGTTCCAAATTATGTGCTCATTGTAAAAAGTATTCATTGCTTACACTTTTACATTTTAAAAATTGTGCAATATTGTATTACTGAAACTAGAAATGTTTAGCATTATTTAAATTCCAAATTATGTGTTCATTATTAAAACATGTATTGTTTACACTTTTACGTTTTAAAAATTGTGCAATATTGTGTGATTGTGGATTGCAATGTTTACCACTGTTTAAGTTCCTAATAATGTGCTATTTTTTAAAAAATATGTGCTTTTTTGTTGGTGTAAAAATGGCATTACTTATATATTTATATATGATTATAAAACCAAGGAAAAATCATTTTTAAGGATGAAACCATATATCCATTCTAAAGGGCATTTACCATATTTCCAAAAATTTGCATTGCATTTTTGCAAATCTGGTACTACTTGGAATTATGAAACATTTCAATAAAATTATTAAAAGCAGCTAAGAGAAGAATGGCATTATAAAACACAAGTATTTAACATTATAAAACTGAAACAATATTTTTTAAACTTTGCATACAATTATGCGTGTCAAAAAATTTAAACTGTATAATCTATAAAAATATAAACTATAAAACTAGCTTAAATATCTTTTACTAAAACATTTTTATTTGTTTTGGTTAAAGCTACGTAGAATATTGTCTTATGAATATGTAATGTATGGCTGGATTCAAGCAAACAAAAAGAATAATATAAAGAAGGTCACTAAGTACAATCTCCTATATCAAGTTCACAAACGACGTAAAAAAATATCATAACATCCTTATTTCCGCCTTTGTTATTGAATATATAATAAGTAACGCATTTATATTCATGCATCGCAAAATAAAAGAAAATATGCGAGCGATTATATTCAGAGCTTTTGAATATATTTTGAATATTATTTTTTGAATGGCAACCTTTATTAGGCTTAGTAAAACTTATAACTAAAATAAATTTCTGTTCGACATAATAAAGGTACTTAAAAATGCATATTGCTAAGGATAGAATTAAAATTCAGCATAAAATATTCCTTAAAAACAACTTTTTTAATAGTAAAAAAACAGTTGTTACCAGTTTAATAAGTTATAAATGAAACTTTGAATTCGAAATGAAATAATTACGAAATGTTTTGCATAAGTTCAAAATAGGACATCTTTTAGCTAAATTTCGAATTTAGGAAACATTTCGATTTCAACTGGTTTTGCGTGCTTCCATATATAATTATGACTTTATTAGGGTTTAATATATAAAGTTGTAATTTTGTGAAAGGGATAAAAACTAATTCATCTTCGTTAATCTTGTAAAACATACATTTTATTCAGCCTACGACACAATTTATTTTAAACGTATTAATTTAGAGATTGTTGGCCAAATGAAGTGTTATATAAGTTTTTTTTCCACTACAGATGAATAAAAAACAGTCAAGAAATAGAAAATGAAATTTAAAATATCGTTTTATTAATTATATTTAGAGTTTTTGAATATATTCTGCATATTATTCTTTGAATGTATTAATTTATTAAGCTTAGTAAATAATATAATTTCAAAAAAATTCTGTTCGATATAATAAAGATAGTACTTGAAAATGCATTGCGCTAGGACTAGAAAAATAATTCAATATAAAATATTCTTTGAAAAAAAAGATTTGTGAATAGTAAGTGAATAGTTCTTGCAAAAGTTTATAAATTAATTATAGAAATCGGAATTCGAAATGCAATAATTATGACTGTTTTTACATTGTTACTAAAAGCAAAAAAATAATTCTCTTAGCTAAAATTTGAGTTAAGGAAATATTCCCATGTCATCAACTAGATTTAGAAGAAATGTTTTTTTTTTTATAAAATATAGTCATAACATGATTAGGACTATATTTCGGACGATTTTTTATTTCGCGAGAAGTATAAAAAAAAGTTTCTCTTTGTAATTTTTGTAAAAAACAATTTTATTTTTTATAATTTTAATTTTAAACATAATATTTTGATACGATTAATAAAGAGATAATGTGAAAACGGAGTGTTATACAATAATTCATATATCAAATATTCAATCAATTCTATCATATTGGATTTAAAATTTTTATAACATAATAAACTAACTAAACTAATACATTGTTGTATATAATTTCGTAATCAAATATAAATTAAATGTCGAAAATCTTTAAATTTATAATTGTGCACAAATAACGTTGCAGGGTGTACATTTAAAAAAAATCTTTTGATTCGAATAATTTGGTAATCCATTGCATTTTTTAAAAT